CACTTTTGTAATAGTGCAATTATGATTCACTTTTGTAATAGTGCAATTATGATTCACTTTTGTAATAGTGCAATTATTATACACTTTTATAATAGTGCAATTATGATACACTTCTGTAATAGTGCAATTATGATTCACTTTTATAATAGTGCAATTATGATACACTTTTGTAATAGCGCAATTATGATACACTTTTGTAATAGTGCAATTATGATACACTTTTGTAATAGTGCAATTATGATATACTTATGTAATAGTGCAATTATGATACACTTTTATAATAGTGCAATTATAATACACTTCTGTAATAGTGCAATTATGATTCACTTTTATAATAGTGCAATTATGATACACTTTTGTAATAGCGCAATTATGATACACTTTTGTAATAGTGCAATTATGATACACTTTTGTAACAGTGCAATTATGATAGACTTCATTAATAAGAAATTAATTCCGACTAGGTCCAAGTTATATCGAATATCTCGAAATTTAAAACCGATCGACTGCGACACTTTTAGATAGAAGTTGCTCAGAACGACGTTCTTGACCATCATACATAAAAATCCACCTCATTTCGATGTCCCTTCGCCTGTACTATTACCGATTTCGCACATCTCTTGCGAATCGCTCTTTCGACATAAATGTAACATTGTGATCGCAGTGCACCACCTTAAATTTCGCGATGATATCGAAGCGCAGCGTCCACTGCGGAGGGCCTTCTTGCTCCAGTCAACGGGCCGGCCGGCCGGCCGGAGTCACGTTCAATACCCTAAATTATCCTTGAACAGCGATCCGCTCCGAGGGACAATCGGCTGCACGCGTCGACACGGCTCGCGTACGAATTTGGCCGCGGAACGAGTTTCGCCGGGCGCCGAGATAAGATTGATCGACTCGGTTTCGACGTATCTTCCCCGGTTTTTTTCTGCACGGGCCACGACCGAGCCGAACAACCGGTGTACAACGGCCTCTAACCCGCTCCGGTAGCCGTGTCTCGGACGTTGCCACCGAGATCCTCGCCTTTTTTCACTACTTTCCGAAGCAGATTCGAAATATTTTCAATTTCAAATTGAAATTCAAAACATCGAGGAACTGGATCGTTAGATCTTCATGCATTTGCAACGTTTACGTAATTTTAAACGAACACGTGTGTTTAGAAGTTCCGATTTACCGTACAAAATTTTCTAGAATTATTTTCTTTTCTTTTATTTTTCTTGTTTTCTTTATTTTTCTTATTTTCTTCATTTTTCTTATTCTTTTCATTTTCTCTATTTTTATTATTTTACCTATTTTCCTATTTTCTTATTTTTTTTAGTTTTCTTACTTTCTCTATTTTTCTTATTTTTTTATTTTCCTATTTTCCTATTTTATCATTTTTCTGATTTTTCTTGCTTTCTTTTTCTAATTTTTTTATTTTCCTATTTTCTTATTTTCTTTATTTTTCTTACTTTTTTATTTTCCTATTTTCCTATTTTCTTATTTTCCTGATTTGTCTTATTTTCTTTATTTTTCTTATTCTTTCATTGTTCCTGTTTTTGTTATCTTACATTCTCTATTTTTCTTATTTTCCTTATATTTTAATTTTCCTATTTGTCTTACTTTTCCTATTTTCTTTATTTTTCTTATTCTTCTTATTTCTCGCGTAAGAAGAAACAGCGGATCCGCAGACTAATTACGAAAACCGAGAAGTCGAATCGAGCGGCGCTTTTTCCCGGCGAGTCTTTAAAAATTGTAATGGCCTCGCGCGTAAATACTCACCTGATTTCAAACGGTAATTAAGCATCGGTGTTTCCCCGCAGGTGACGCATGAATATGCATAACCGACACGCGTAAAATGTTTCGGCGAAAAAGCCGGTGATTTATAAACGGGCCCCGTTCCGCAGAAGAACGGCGAGAGATTACGGTAGCTTAGGCGCAACCGCGTAGCAATAATTAAAAGAACGTTCGCAGCATGAATAATATAGCTATTAATCAACTTCTTCATCGACACCCTTAACAAAGGGAACGGTTGTCTGCATTTCATTGCCTTTTCTTCTCGTTGATACTATTCGAAATGTTGTTCGGATATAATATTATTCGAAGTATTTATTCGATATATTATCCGAATAAAATTTTATTCGTAGAATATATTTGATATACTGTACGAATTAAATTTTATTCGAAGAATTTATTCGATATATTGTACGAATAGAATTTTATTCGAAGAATTTATTCGATATATTGTACGAATAAAATTTTATTTGAAGAATTTATTCGATACATTATCCAAATAAAATTATATTCAAACAATTCATTCGATATATTATCCAAATCAAATTATATTCGAACAATTCATTCGAGATATTTTCCAAATAAAATTATATTCGATCAATTCATTCGATATGTTATCCAAATAAAATTATATTCGAACAATTCATTCGATATATTATCCAAATAAAATTATATTTGAACAATTCATTCGATATATTATCCAAATAAAATTATATTCGAACAACTCATTCGATATATTACCCAAAGAAATTATATTCGAACAATTCATTCGAGATATTTTCCAAATAAAATTATATTCGAACAACTCATTCGATATATTACCCAAATAAAATTATATTCGAACAATTCATTCGATATAACATCCGAATAAAATTTTATACGACGAGTTTATTCGAAATATTTGCCGAATAAAATTTTATTCGAAGAATTTATCCGATACGTTCGAATCGTCATAGAAACCGTGATCATTGGCCGATCCGCAACGGAAGATCGCACACGTCCGGCCTCGCGCAAGAAACCCACTCGAACAGAATGCGTGGATTAACGCTTGTTCCTTTTTTTTTGGCGGTACGGTCGCGCGGCAGGCTCGACATTATTCTTAAACGCATTCTTTCTTGCCGTTGCCCGTCCGGGTTAGCGTATGTATAATGCATCGTCGGACAATTTCACCCGTTCTTCATCGAACCGGTCATAACACAGATCGGTTTGCGCGCCGATTGATAAACCGGGCGACGCTGCTGCCGCCGCGGATGAATTATGCATGCCAAAAGCTTTCTGTATAAATCCATCGGGAATGCCGTCGAATTTGTCGGGGCTTGCTGCCGATCGGCCCGATGAAAATTGCCGGCTCGCGGATGCGGATTTGTCGCCGATGCGCCGGATAAAACGACGATGAAGTCGTTCCGACCATTTATCGGATCACCGAATTTCTTGCCGGTCTTCTTCTCGCTCGTCATAATCGGCGTCGCCGCCGGTATCGGCTCCGGTCTACGACGAGGACGACGCAAAAACCTGCACGCCGACTGTTTACCTGGGTCAATCCGTGGCTGCCTGGGCTTTCCGGGGACGGGAGACAGTCGACAGAGGTATTTTTGCGGCGAGAAGTTTTTCCATTGGTAATTGGACACCGCGGGTTTTTAATATTAAATTTATTTATTTGATTATTAATTGTTGTCTCTAAGATTATTTACGATTATTAAAAGTGGGATATGTTTTAGAAATTGATTTAACGAACAAATTTTTCCGTTGTTAAAAATGCCTATCCGCTTCGGTTTACGAGATATTTGAAGAAAACTGTGGACCTAACCTAAATCTAACTCGGACGTAACCTATAATTGCAAGTAGACTGCGGAATTCATTTAGATATTGCCGAATAGCG